TTGATCAATTTTCATATTTTATAATGTAATTTAAAAAAAATTATTTATATTTAAAATATACGTGTATCTAAAAATTAATATTTCCTAAAAAGTGAGCTGCCGCTCTGTTGATTTTTTACCTTTTTAAACATAATTTCGTTCGCGTCTAGAACAGACCTTGTATATTATTCGTATATAAATATTAACTCGTAAAAAGTCAGCTACGTAAACCCGATTGACTCGAAAAAAAGCAAATCTGCAAAGATTACATCATTTAAATGATGTAATCGTATCAGTTACATCTTTATTTCAGATAAGTTGCGATATTTTAAACAATTGATTAAAAGATTTTTGTGTTTTTAAAAATTTATGTATTTATATAAACTTATCATATTATTTTTATTTATAATAAAATCTAACGAAATTTGATCGTTCTTATCGTTCTAAAATGTTAATTTTGCTCAAATTTATCAAAATATATTTCGCACAAATGTACCTATCGCCGAATGTGCATGTTATTGAATGAACGTTAAGTTGTCAGCAAAAATTCGCCTAAACAATGCAGCCTAATCGAGAAAAATACTCTTAATATTGGAAGTGTGAGCGAGTTAATTCTGATCAAATAAGAATAAATCTACGTATAGATTTTTCTTTCTGTCTCAAGCCGCTTATTCTGATTGCGAGATCGTTAGAACCATATAAGGTTGAAAAATGAATTACTAGATTAGCGATCTTGCTGACACGGGTGATAATAAAGATTTGCATATATATATATATATATATATATATATATATATATATGTAATATATAACAGCGTCGGATCTATGGTTTCACGTTTAATCCTTATTTATAACAGAATGTGTGTAGTTATAACTATAGTATTAAAATTTGCGATAATTATATATACTGATTTGCGATAGTTATCTGCCATAAACGTGAATTTAGAGTGTTTATATTAAATGCGGCACATTTAATACAGCTAAAATATAATATCATGCATTAGATTTTATATGATGTTAAAGTTTTAAACTCGCGTTCAACTTTTTCTAATTAATATAATCACAAAGTAATATGCGATTGTAATATAATCTTCATGGCAATCAATTTAATAAGTTTAAAAATTGAATTTACGAAAACATTTTGTAAATTTACAAAAAACATTTTGCAAGGAAATGTTGATAGATGCGTTTAGTGAAAGAAGGATACATTTTCTCTAAATAGTTTGGGATAAAATTAATTTTTTTTACAAATGATTTACAGTAGAATCAAGTTTCTATTTAAATCATACATATAATTAAAAATTCAGATTTAATATGTTTTGGAGATTTTAAATATTTTCTATCAATTTTAATTTATAAATTTATATTTAATATGTTTTGGAGATTTCATATATTTTCTATCAATTTTAATTTATAAATTTATTTTCTTTTAAACTCTGATCTATACATCCATAAATCCGTCGCTGAGCTTTGATAAGAATAAAGTCATTTGTATGCGATTGAAGGAAAGTTGATCGTTTGTGGAAAGTTCGTGTAAATTTAAGAAATATAGCCCCAATTATGCAAGAATATACAAAATTAAGCGTCTCTTTGATTATAATTAAAAATTATTTTTCTATTATTTTTAGTTTTAAATACATCATATGATAATAAAAGATGTTATCTTAATCTCTTCATTTGTTAAATAAAATATAAGTATATATAATAATATATTTATGATATAAATAATATATCGTGAATATATCATAAACATATTTATGTTTGTGGATATTTTAAGATTCAATTTTCCATTAAAATTAGAAGACACACGATTTATATGTGTCTCTAAAATTTATTTCATTATATATTCAATCTTTTTTATTTTTTAATAATACAAAATCTTTTGCTTTCTCTTTTTTTTAACACTTTTAAGACTTCCACCGACGATCAAGATTATAGATTATTGATGACTGTTCATTTTTTATAGGAAATGCTTTAGAATAAATACAGTATGAGCGAAATGAATCGCATAATGAAGATTGGATATCTTTGATGTATTGTCACGATGTTTTACAGAATTCTGTGTAATCGTTGTAACGACGGCGATGACGATCGCGCACGATCGAGCAACTCGTATCGACATAGTAATTAACACAATTTCTAGGATAGCGTAACGTTTATCGAGCAAGCTACGAGTCACGGTGTTTAAGTATAGCGACCTTTTAGATTTTATATATCGCGTGTGTGAGAATATGCAAAAGAGCGCGTGCGATAGCGAGATGTCGCGTGTAAATGCGTGTGAGCGCGCGCGTCACAGAATTTAGGTTCGGCAAGTTAATAAATCGTATTTTCGAAATAAATCTTTTATATATACAGATTCACTTACCTTCTCAACTTTCCTATTTTTCCAATTTTTTTTCATAAATATAGGAAAAGATTGTTAAAATTTTTTTAAACATTGGTATGCATGCATAAGATTTTTTTGTAAATTTAAAGTCTGAAGGACTTTTTTTTATATTATGAGTATTACATTTCAAATATATAATCTACAGTTAAAATTAATAATAAATTATGTCGTGATAAATATCGTGAGAAATATATAATATTATACTGTAAATAACTTTTTCTCTAGTTTTCTATTTTCAAAATATTATTTTTTCCTGAATTTTTTTTCTTTAACTAACAATTAAAAAAGTAATTGATTTATTATTAAAAATCAGGATTGGCAACATACTAATATTTTTTTTTTATAAAATTCATGTCAGTGTAAAAATTGGTATTTTCAGGAAAAAATCGGCAAAAACTGGTCTTTTCTATTAAAAGTGTTCAAATAAATAGAAAATCTTTTTATCGATATTTTTACCAATTGAAATATTTTTCTAATTTAAGTTTTATCCAAAATAAAAAAATCCGTTACAGATTAGAACTCAATAGAATAAATAAATTGTTTTTTTATTACAAGATGTTAAGCGCGAATCAAATCTGTATTAATAATAATTTCCAATTCTATTATTATTACATATTTCTTATTAAATTAAAAATTAATATAAAATTTACTAACATTGATATCCTTAAAATTTTTATTTTAAAAATTTCACACATTAATTTGAATTAAACAAGATTTTATTATTAGATTGATTTATTTTTTAATTACAGTGATTAATATAATTTATTAATTAAAGCAAAAAAAAATATTTTTTGCATAAAGTTATATGAAAGTTATATTTTAGTGTTGTATATTAATTAATTTTAGTTATTAAATAGTTTTTGCCAATTTATTCCACTGAATAAAATCTGGAAAGTAAAAATCGGAATTTACATAATGTTTTTTACTTGGATTTGTTCAGCCATTCCTGATGAAAATACATTTTACATACTTTTGTATATCACATACTTTCATTATAAGATTCATGTTTTGAGGATTAAATAATTATAGTAAATACTTTTATTCAAAATGATATGTATACATACACACAGTAAATAATTTTATTCAAAATGATACACAGTTTTAAAATAATTTTATTCAAAATGATACACAGTTTTAAAATAATTTTATTCAAACTTTAAGTTTTAAAATAATTTTATTCAAACAAGACAGTAAATAATTTTATTTAAAATGATATGTATACATATAATAGATAGAGCAATTTTTTAGCGATTTTATTTTTTTAAAAATTTTTTACCATATTGTATATATAGATTTGATAAAACATATTGCATACATACTATTAGATATAATACTATAAGACTATTGTGCATATTTTTTCCCCAAAAAATATATTTATCGATATATTATATTATAATAGATAGACACATACAATTATAAACTGAGAAATATATTTTAAATAAATACATTTTATAAATACTTTTAAGTAAGATTCAAAGATTTTAATTTAAAATTATTTTTAAATCGATGTAAAAATTTATAAATATTTGGAACGAATTGAATCAATTTAATAAAGGATGTTAACAATATTAAGAGGGAAATATTCGATTACAAATAAAAATATTGACATACATATATATTTCCATATATTTTTATATGCATTTGCGTGAAAATATATGCACATGAAATAATACGACTGCACATACCTGTACAATACATATCTGATTTTCGCTGATCTCGGCAAAAAGTTCGCGAATCTGGTCCATTCTGCGCTCAAGAATAGATTGTTGATCCGGAAATCACGATGTATTTATGTGTAATAGCAATTTATGTATAACATATTGCATGTTAGGACGAAGTCCAAATAACACTTTACACAAACACTCGCGATACTTTTTTGCGTTCTTAAATTTACTCGTAAGAATACTTTTCGCGGGTTAAATTTACATCCTACAACACTTTTGCGCACTGGATTTACTTTTAAACGAACAGATGCACACGATAAAAGACGATTTAATTGCGATTTTGCAATCTAATGCGACGCACTTAATTGTAAAATATAATCTATCGAGGCGCGCTCTGCGATTCAAAATATCTAAACCGATCACTATACATTCTATCTAGATGGGATAGTCGCGCGTAGGTAAGCGCGCATGTACGCGCATGCGCAGAAATATTGGCCAATCACTACGTCCAATAAAGGATGCCATATTGTTACGTCCTTCGAACTAGATTCGTGATTGGATGACATTTCTCGCATTAAGAAAAGTTATCTCGAATCTCGATAAGTTTATGATTCAATGATTGGTCGCTTTATTGCTCTTTTTCAGAGAGAAAAAGAGATAGAGAGAGAGAAGAAATATAAAATAAATATTACTTTGTTTATTGCAGTTTTTGAAATTTTCTTTTTTTTTCAAATCCTAAATGTACATAAAATAATAGAATTTTGAGAGGAGAAAAAGACAAGAGAAAGAAAGAGAAGCCTTTCCTCCCAAAAGAGAGCAAAGGAAAATGCAGGAATTGTAACTATATAAGATCAACAGAAATTCTGGAATTCCTAACCTCTATCGTGGTGTTGTCAATCAAATATAGCACGATAATATACGGTGATTTTTTAATTTATACACGTGCAATATTTTATTAACAATATTATAATATGGCTCAAGCATACGATAGTTATTACAATGATTATCATAAAAATACTGAATTACAATTAAATCTAAAATATAAGAAAAAGTATAGGAAACTCAAAAGGATTGTGAAGAATACTGTTTTTGTAAGTTTTAATCTTATATGTAATGATATTTATATTTTTATTTGCAAATTGGCCTAAAAAATATATATAATATTGCATTTCATTTATAAATTTAAAAGGCAATTTAAATTTTAATGCAGGAAAATGCAGCTCTATGTGATCAAGTCGCGCATATGCAAGAAAATCTTATGGTTGTTAAAGAAGAGAGACTGTTTCTTCTACGAAAATTATGTCAACATCAAGGGGAGATGGAATCAAACTCTCTGGTAGCACGTTCACAGTCAAATAATATAAATTCACCATCATTTAATCCAGAATGCACTACACCAAAAAAAGCGGTAAAAAAGAAGACTTCCACAGATGGATCAGGTATTTCTTTGTATATTATAATATATTGTTAATATTGAGTATAGAAAAATAAGTTTAAAAAATGTATTTTAAGATTTTAATATAGATAATAAACATTTATGCATTAGCAATACTTGATACAATTTGTATTTTTTTTGCAGAGTCAAAGAATAAGGCCAAAAGATATAACAAAACTGCCAGAAGAGTAGTGCAATCGATTCCATTAGATGTACATGGAAGGCCAATACTTCCCGTAGCCTTAGGAGATCTTACAATATATTCTCTTGGTGAAGTGGTATCAGACAGAATTGCATATCACACAGAAGACCTTATATTTCCAGTAGGTTATTGTAGTACAAGAGTGTATGCCAATTTAAGAGATCCAAGAACAAAAAGCTTATATACCTGCAAAATACTAGATGGTGGACCAAAACCTAGGTATAAGATTAAAGAAATAATATGAAAAAATAATTATTCTCTTAAGATAATACAATTATATAAATACGTATAATTTTATAGATTTGAAATAGTATCTGATAATGATTTGGATCAACCATTAGTCGGATGTAGCCCTGACGAATGTCATTCAAAACTCTTAGCAGCAATTTCTCCAATGCTTTGTTCGATAGCACCAAAGGGTGCAGATTTCTTTGGAATTTCTCATCCTACCATACAAAATTTAATACAAAGTTCTTCAGGAACGCGCAAATTAGCCATGTACAAACAACAACGTTTTGAAGTATGTATATATAATAATTTAAGGCTATATATTATATTTAATCATGAACAAGATAGAATTTAAAAAAATATATTTATGTAAAATATAAGTTCTTTCTCAAAATTACAATAGTTTAAAAGCATCTGTCAAAACATTTCTGTATCAAATTTTATTAAATGAAATATTTATTTCATGAAATGATTTAAGAAACATTATGATAAATTAGAATATCAAATTTTAAATCTTTAAAATGTTAACAAGCTTTCACTATATAATTGTATTTCATTACATAATTAGAAATTATACATTATAGGTAAGCAAAAATCATGTCATCGAACGAGCTGCAAGTCCAGTAACAGAAATGGAAACTGATCCAGGACTTGGTTTTGCAGCATTGCACAGACATTATGCTTTAAATTCTTATAGAGTAAAAGAAGAACCTTCAGATCATGATCTATTAACACTTCAAGATCTTCTTGCATGATTATTAATATTATAAGTCTAACATACAATTAAACATGATTTAAAATTAATAAAATTTTTCACATATCCCCACAAAATATATTTAAAAACAAAAAGATTGATTGATTCGTATATTATAGCTTATTAGTTTTTACTGTTGATACATTTAATTTTATTTGATATGATGATGGAGAATTATATTTTTTTATATTTATGAAATATATAATTGGATTATATTTAAGAGAAATTGCTAATGCAAATTGAAAACTTATTAATAATTCTGTAATATTTATTTGAGCTATGATGTATATAAAATGATCAATTTTTATGACAAATATATATAATCATTATATATAATCATTAGAGACCTTCTCTAACCACATTATACAAATTGAAATATGTACTATACATTATTAGCAGTGTTTATCGTATGAGTATAGTTTTATCTTAATTTTACATGAACCCATTTTTCGGACGAATTATCCTTCAAGTAATTGATATGTATGGCACAATGCATATCTAATTAAGATTTAACAAATTAAATTGATTAAAATGTTTTTCTATTGATGTTTGTGTGATGTACAATCGATTGTCCATAAAGTTAAGATCAAACATTATTCTTATTATTAAATTTCCTTTAATCTTATTTTATGATAAATGTATAGAATAAAAATGTACCATCCGCAATTTGTTTTATCATTATAATATGGTTACATAATTACATAATAAGTGCAAGTAATGCTAGAGCCATTTTAACTGCTTCATCACTCTTTAAGCATACAGCTAATTTGCAAAACTGATAAGATTATAATACATCACTGTATGGACAATCGACATTTTAATCTAAAATATCTATGAATTAAGTATATTTTTTTTAATACAACATTTCTAAGAAAGAATTTAAAATAGTGCAAAACACTATATTATATTTATAAGATTACTTTAATATTTAAAATAATATTTTTCAACTACTTAAGAATTCTTGATGCATAAATTGAATATATATTGTATATATAAATTGTCATAGAACATTATTTTTATAGCATGTTTATAATATATAGCGCAGCGCCGATCGGAGATCACAAATAGATATTGAAAAATGACTAGCTATTGCATAAAAAGCTCAAAATATAAATTCTCATAAAAATTGAGAAATATATAACTTCAGGTTTGCTATTACGTATATATTAGTATTATTAAATACAAAAAATCACATATATAAATAAGCTATATGTGCGTTATTAAATATGCGTAAATAAATATCTTTGTACTGATTGGATGCATTCCAATTAAAATATTATCGAATTCTTTTTAAATATTGATAAAAATGAATATACAATTTATGAGCTTATCTTAATTTGGTTCAACAAAAAAATACATCTCTTATATTTCTTTCGCTGAAATTTGTAAGCGAACTAAATAATTAAAAATAAAAATATCTCCTGCAATAGTCAGTAATAGATACAAATATTTTTTAAATATTAATTTTTATAATTATTTTTGCATGAAATTTTTTGTAACAAATTGATAAATTGCATGTGCATCTTAATATGCAAATTGCATAAATTAGGCATTTCCTCGTTTTTCTTTTTCATTGTCACCGCCTATTGGCTCGTCCAATGGTTTTATTAAATAATGTGTTTGCAATTGCGATTACTGGCGAAAATAATTTCAGTTGGTAATCACTGGAAGAATTATTTACATTATGTTAAATTTTTTAAATGGATGAAATATTGCATGAAATATATACATATATTTTATAATCTAAAAATATATACCATGTTCCAGTTACAGGTTCTGCTTCGTTTCCACTTATAATAAATAATGGAAATAAAATAGAAAAAACACAGCCACTGAAAATAAAATATTTTATAAATATATAGAGCTTTAGAAAATTGCAATTTCTTTTAATAAATTAATTGCATAAATATAGAATATATTTATATTGAAAATTAGTGTTTATTTACAATGAAAAAAGTTAAGGAAAATTTAATAGAAAATTTCCAATATAAGTTGTAATGTATTTGGAGTTTATCAAAATCTTATATTTTTAAAAAAGACAGATTAAAATATAAAAGAACAATATTTGTCTTCAAACGTTAATAAATAAAAGATAATTTTCTCAAAAAGATAGCAATTATTTTATACCTTGTAACATACGAGCTGGGCAGTTGAGTAAGTACCGCTAATGGCATACCAAAGCCTAAAAAGTACGGCCAGTTGCCTTCAATAAAAGTTAATCGTTTATGCAACTCCCAACCCATGTTGAACCATTTATATTCAAAGGCATAGAGAGCATATAAAAGGCACATATGAATAAGGGCAAGTATATCCCCTAATAATGGTAACGGAACTTTGGACACCAACATTCCTTGTCCTAAGAACAACACTTGAACTAATACACTGAAAAGTGTATCAGCTATCAGTCTGCTTACGCTTGACAAAAGCAATGGTCTCCCTTGTCTGTATCTATAAGCGCTATCTGCTATGTCCTATATAGTTTATAAATATACTATATTCTTTTATATTATAATATATAATAAATAAAGTATATTTAATAATAATTTTAATGATTAATATTATATTAATAATTTTATTATATAATGAATATTATAATACAATGAAATTATTTATTTTGCAAAAAAATTATACACATATATGAATACATACTTGAAACCATAAGCTGTTAACTATCTTGCTGAGCAAAAACAGTGGTAGCACCCATATTGTGCCAAATGTCAAAGATAAAAATGGCTGAATCCATGACCATACAATAAGAGCCATACCAGGGGAATGGCCGAATATAATAGATAGTAAATACTTGACAAATGGTAGAAGTCCATATTCAAATATTATTATACTAGCCCAAAACACACCACCATTTAATGCACAACATTGAATGGTTCTTCTCATTACCATAGATTTCCTAAAATCATACATAGACTAAGAAATTCTGCAATGAAAATATTATATCTATTTTTACATTTATTTTTTGGCAAACATGGAGTAAGAATAAAAATACCGTTGTTGATTATTCTGCCTAAAAGTATTTTGTATAGCCAAGTCTCTCTTTTTCAGTTCTGCTCTAGTAGAAGAGCTTATGACTAATTTCTCATTGATTTGTTTATCCATGTAAAAGAGTACAATAGCACCCCTCCAACTGTCTACAAATCCTCGACATATTGCGTATATTATCCCCTGAAAATACAAAACTTATAATAATATTTGAAATACATATCCATACACAGTATCAGAAGCTATATATAATACTTTAAATAGAGTATCTAAAAAAATATATAAATAATTAATATACATTTTAATTAGAAGTGACAGATATCAGATGTATCTATTAAAATATTCGAACATGTTGGAAACAAAACTTTTCCATTCTTAACTTAGTTTTAATGAAAATAATTAATCTTATTTCAATGCGTTTGCAGAAGGGAAATGTCATTTTAATCATATATATATATACAACATTTTTATTTTTCTACACATATACACAATGAGAAAAATAATAAATATATGAAGTAACACAAGTAAAAACACAGAAAAGGTCTAAAGATAAAAAAAGTTAGTGCATATATACAAAGTTCTATAAATTTATAAAATCAAATGCAATGATAATTTTACTACAATGACACTAAAAATAGTTTTTAAAAATAAATATAATTTTTATATTAGTTAATAGTATATTTTCAATTTTGAATACTAGATACTTGATTAGATATCTTGATAAATAAGATCTTAAACTAAAACTCTGTTAAAATCAAGCAAAGAATTGTATTATTTAGTATTATAAAGTTCAAAAAAGTTTGAAAGAAAAAAAATTGTATTATTAAATAAATTTTAAATAAAATTCTTTAAATAAGGAATTTTATCTTGAAATGTTAATATATCGAAAATAGTAAAAATTGAACAAGTAAAAAGATATAAAAGACAGCAAATAAATATTTGACAATTTGACAATATTTATTTTTATTTAATATTAATTAACAATATTTCACACTTATACTTCGATTTTCGACAAAATAACATCAAAATCGAAGCATGGGTTGACAGGTGATACCGATTGTTAGCAAGATTGGTTAACAAAGAGTGCAATGACTAAGAACGCACAGAGTTCACGAAAAAAAAAAACATATGGAAAATTACGAGGTTAAAGTCTACTCACTGTCACGCTATCCATGATGTGACTTGACTGGATGTAGCTCGATTTATTCTCGGAAAAGGGACAATGCACTGAATGCGGTCATTTTTGGCACGACGAGGAAGAATTACATGCCACAATATTGTTGATTAGGATGTCGAAAAGCGATGAAAACTCACTATAAAAACAAGCTCACGAAAAATTTTTCGCACCGTTGCAACAAGTACTCGAACGTCAAGCATCCGTCGTGAAATGAACTACGCAAACAATTCATATCGTCCAATAACGGCGGGGATCCCGTTGTTCGGAAACCCATTTCCCCTCTCCCCGCGTCTACAACCGATTACTGCGAACGAGTTAGTTAAAAAACAAATAACTGAAAGAATCAGCTGATCGCAGGCTACTCGAAATTGCATTAACATCATATTCTCTCCATCTGAAGTTCGAGTCGAATCTAGGTATTCGGACATCATGCCTTTATCTTGCGCATGTGCCAATAAAATTAGTCGATCTGTACAACTTGGAAATTTTCCAGCAAAAAACACCATAAACAGAGCGTGGCATGTTGCTGTCAAATAGAAAAATTTTCGGGGCTTTGAAAATTCCTCTATCCGATAGCCAATCATGTGTCTACCTGTTTTCTGGATAGAAAACTCTCATTGGCCGTATTCAGCAGCTCAACCGCTAAGTAGCAATCAAATATGATTGGTTTCTACTTTCAGATCCGACCAATCAGCGTCGAGTTACATCAGAAAATCTAGTAAGTTGCCCAACTGTTGAGTCTGCTGAATGCGGCCATTGGTCACATTCAGCTGACTGAATAGTTGGACAACGTTATTAGATTTTTATATATTATATGGGGAAATATTAGACATTATAAAGCGCGCTTTGTGTGCCATTTAATTTCTTCTACTATGAAATATAATACGAGAAAAAAGTATATATAAGTATATTACTTATATATTTTATTCATATATTATTAAATATTAGGTCGTCGACGTACTATCGCCATTTATCGCAATATAATGACAAACATTCTTTAAATATTAACTTGTCAATTTATTAACTTGTCAAATTTATTAAATTGTTATCATCGGCATCGTCACCATGTGATGATATCTTTATCAATTATCATTGGAAATAAAATATAATATCACTGAAAATAAAATATTCTAATTTATTTCTAAATATTAAATATTATAAATATCAAATTATTTATTAAAAAATTTAGATATTAAAGAAAATTTATTTAAAAAATCTTGAATGTACTTCAAACAAGGAAGAATCTTCGTTAATGGTGTGAAAATAAATTAAAATGGTGTGAAGTTAATTAATTATAAATAAATTTATTTAATTTTACTATACGTTTTATAAATATGTCTCGATTTCTTTAAAATGCATTATTAAAATACATGGTAATCAGGAAAGAAATACTTTCATATATAAAATATTTAAAATATATATGCTAAGATATATGAGAATTATAAGGAAAAAAATTTTGTGATATTTTGAGAATTTTTTAATTAGACGCATAATAATCAAAAGCATAATAATAAATAGCAACAGTTACTATATATGTAAGCATTTGATAAATGTAACATATACATGTTCTGCCATTTCTGAAAATCGCATATTGAGAACACATATTCAGATGTAAGCGAGATTTTATTATCGTGATTACTATTCAAGAGAATAAAGTAAATTAAAATTCTTTGGAATTCCTATAAAGAGAAAAATCATTTTTTATATGTTTATATAATAATAGATTTTATAAATTTGGCTTCTTAATTTACATTTTGTTAGAGTTTTATTATTTATTCATATACGGCTACTGTTTGCATAATTCATGTCTACTAAAACAATATTTTCTTTTTAATATATAATATTATCTTTCTTAAATATTTTAATAAATGTATGCTTAATAAAATAACATAATTATTGCTTTTATTTATAAGAACATTATTTTGTGCTTTCAGTTTACGCGATAGTGTAGACTATTTTTTAAAATAGTCGCAAGATAATGAAATTATCTCTACATATTACATATAGATAAAATATATTCAAATTAATACATATGTATACGAGTTGGTTCAATGTCCGCTGTATATAAATATATAAGATCTAAAAATAAAATTGTATGTATTGTATATCAACTGCATTTATCTTAATTATAAGTCTATATATAAACGAAAAAATACGATCCATTTAGTTAACCATTATATATCGAATCATTATTTATATACGTCTCGCTTGATTGCAAATAATAGACTTTAATGACATAATTTATATTATGTCTGCCATTGAAAAATTATCATAATTGGATATGTAGTTACATACATGATGCTCTCTATATATTCTTGATCAATATTTCATTTCAATTAATTAAATTTTGTGTACAATTCTATCTATTTTTAATTATTAATAGTATATAAACATCAAAATATTATTATAAACACGTATTATATTAAAAAATATAAAATATTCAAATAATAATTGTATATTAGCGATTTCGTGAAAAATATGGATAGATTATTATTTCACAACTTCTTAACATGTAATATCTATTTTTATATTTTTATCTATCTTTCTGTATACAAATTAATGAATAATATATAGATTTGATAAGAGACTCATTATCAAATTAAATTAATTCGTGAAATCAAATGATTTAAGATTATATGAAATGATATGTGCAGATATACTTTGGCTATCATTAATTATAGAATATTAATTAAATATTAATCACTAATATATTTTGCGTGTGAATAATTTTATGCAATATATAATTTCATTATATATTCATAATAAGCAATTTTTCTTTGGATATTACATATAATTTTAATCTTAAAATTTAATTAAATTTAATTTTAATTTTATTTTTTTATCACTATTTTTGTTATTTATCTTTAATTACTTATTTTTATTATACATTTGATTTTTAGAAATTTTAATATTATGAATGACTTTAAAAGTTATCAATATAAAATAATATAATAAAATAATAAAATATATAAATATAATAAAATAATATATAATTATATGTCCTCTAAATTCGAACAACACTGAAAAATCATTTATTTACATATTTATTCATTATGACATATTTTCATTAAGATGAACCTATTCGCCAATGTTGCCAATCCTTTACGCATGCGCCTTTACGTCATCCTGACGTGGCAACGGAGCGACCTCGTTGTAGCTTCGACGTTTACTTCATCCCATTCTACAGTGTTCCGAAATGACGGATGTGCAGTGTCTAAAGAGGCCAGAATGTAAAAAGTGTGTGCAACATGTATTAACATCATTGCACCGCGATATTCTATGAATGAAATTGCATTCTTTCTGTGGAAGCTACGTGCATCGTTCTGTTCGTGATAAACTGCAGCTGACATTCTTTGCTCGTTTTCATGTCACATCTTCGCTGGTTATAAGAGTCCACTCTTTAACTTGAGTAAGGAAACGAATTATGTAGATTCTCAGGCGAATCGAAACGCGTGCTCCGAAATATTTTATAAATGAAAGAGAATATAATTATTTATTTATTTATTATTATTAGTTTATTAATTTTCTGTCAGTACGTGTCTAGAATATGTAATATCAATGATAAAACGTCAATATCAATATCAATAATTAACATGATATAATCCTTTCTGACACATTATGATAAATTATAAATAATATTCTCGATAAGAGTATGTAAAGTATGTAAAAGAAAAAATTTCGATGTCGCCAAATAAGAAATAGGTCGATAGTATATTTGTACTTCCGTTGACGTATATTCCTAAAAACCGGTAGATAAACTTTTATCTGTTTCCTGGTATTGACGATAATATTCATTTAAATAATAAGAGTTTATATTATGAATATTTTCTTACAAGGATGGATAATGTTTACTTTAGAGTATTTGTTCATTAGCCGAAAATAATCCTTTTCTGAATTTTATGTTAATTTTATGAATATACTTTTATTATATGATATCCAATTTAATAATATTTCTTTTTTTATCGCAAGAAATTATTCAACAAAAATTGTTTAATATAATTGGAATTAAATTTTAAACATGTAAATGTACATTGTAATAGATTATCATACAAAATTTTTTATTTATCTATGTTATCATCTATTGGATTGGTTTTATGATTTGGTTTTATCAGATAATAAACTCTTGTATTATTATTGTATATTATCTTGTGTCTAATTGTAAGATATTAATTTATCATAGCTTGATATGAAATTTTAATATGATCTTTTACTAATTTAAAATAATATATTATATCAAAGATCAAGCAAATAATATATTGGTCATATTTGATAATATATATAATTGGAAATCACTGATTATAAATTCTTATCATTAATTATAACAGAAAAAAATCAATGTAATTTTCATTTTTTTCAACATTTTATTTTCAATTAAAGAAAAATTACAAAGAAATAATTATATTATTTTCTTATGCATATAAGAATTGATAACAAATTTGATAACATAACATCTTTATCGCAACATAAAATTTATTCTATATATTTTATAATTGTGATTCCCATAAATGTGATTTTAAACACAATTAAAACGTAATGATTTGTTAGATTATATTACAGCTGATCAAAATGACAAGAATTCGGAAAATTTGCTGCATTGGAGCCGGTTACGTAGGTGGACCCACATGTAGTGTTATTGCGTTGAAATGCCCGGAAATTCAAGTAACCGTCGTCGATAAAAGCAAGGAGAGAATAGCGCAATGGAATTCGCAAAAGTTGCCGATATATGAGCCAGGCTTGGATGAAGTGGTGCAAAAATGTCGTGGAACAAATTTATTTTTTTCCACCGATATCGACACAGCTATTAAGGAAGCCGATTTGATATTCATCTCAGTAAACACACCAACAAAGACCTTTGGCAATGGCAAAGGAAGAGCGGCGGACTTGAAGTACGTGGAGAGTGCTGCAAGAATGATCGCGGAAATCGCCACGGGAAATAAAATTGTTGTTGAAAAGAGTACTGTGCCGGTACGAGCAGCCGAGAGCATCATGAATATCCTGCGCGCCAATCATAAACCAGGCGTTTCTTATCAGGTAAAATTACCGCCTGTTGTTGCAATCGCAATTTAAAAATTAATACTTTTCTTATTTCTTCCTTTATTTCCGTTTTATCATTTTAAAGTAATATATGCGTGCGATTAAAAGTTATATTAATAAGTTATGAGTAATTAAAATATATTTTTAATATCATTTGATGTCCTTTTATATTTAAATATTATATATATATATATATATATATATATATATATATAATAACATTTAAATATAAAAGGACATTAAATAATATTAAAAATATATTTTAATTACTCATTATATATATATATATATATATATATATATAATTAATATTATACAATTTATAAATGTAAAGTGCTGCATATATTAAATAAAAAGCAAATGATCTCCCTCAGGTAACATTCTTTTATAATGCAACTTTAATTTAACTCAATTAAATTAAATGACTATCACATACATATACATGATTTAGTATATTTCATATTCATGGTACCATTTGTGCTCTATAATTATCTTTAATATTTATTAATTACCTCAGTATTGTAACATAATATTGCGTTAAAATTACGCTTTATTGAATTCTTTAAAATGGAAATATTCGATTTCATCTGTATGACATGCAAAGTTTTGATTATATTCTGTGTCTTTGCTATGCCCATTATCATGATTAATTGTTGAATCGTCAGCCACATGATTTTATACCTGTTTATATTATAATTCCAGTCTTTCAAGGTAACATTCTTGTTTCATCCGTGATTGTTTATGACTTTTTTTTGCTGAGGTATTATAATCTTGTCACTATCGCGCGTCTATGTTGATTTATTTTCTGTGTGTTTGTTGAGATCCATCTCTTTAATCATGTTTATATGCAAATATTAATTATTCTTCAGATCCTTTCGAATCCGGAATTTTTAGCTGAAGGAACTGCTATAGAAGATTTGGTAAACGCAGATCGAGTACTGATTGGTGGAGAAGACTCGCCGGAAGGACAAGAAGCCATTGAAGAACTTTGCAAAGTTTACGAACATTGGATTCCAAGAGAAAATATTTTAACAACTAACACATGGAGTTCCGAACTATCGAAGTTGGTGAGTAATTTACTCTATGTTTTAATCATAATAAAGCGCAATGTCATTATAAGTAATTGAATAAGTTTTATTTTTAAATATTTATTTTAGTTCTTTTTTAATTTTTATTTAGTTAAAGTTGTTTTTTAATTTTTATTTAATTTTATTTAATTACTTATAATGATATTGCGCTTTATAAACAATTAGATAAAGAAATCAGATTTTATTGCAACACATTAGCTACAGATACAGATAAATTTAGCAATAGTTTTAATGGCGAATTTGTCATTTTGATATACTTATATATAACTTGATTTTGAGATTTGATTTGCAATGAGGTCTTCAATGAGGTCTGTACCTATTGTTGTGCTTAATGAAAAATCTGCCACTAAATTATAAAAAATTTTCATATAAAAATTGTTATTTTAAACTAAATTTTCAACTACTCATTGAAATGACATGTATTTTACGTATGAAAATTTTAATTATAATAAACATTAACATATTGTAATTTGCAGCATCAAAAGAAAAAATTAATTTATTAAAAATAAATTAAAATGAATTTTAATTTATATTGTGTGTGTATATATATATATATATATATTTGATTATAGTTATACTAAAGTTTGCTAGATACTTTCCAAAAGTATTAACAATTTAATATTATTACAATATTTAATATTATAATATTTAATATTATTATAATTTTTTAAAATTAATTTTTTGAATCATTAGCGCCCGAAGTCTGTTTTACAGTTTATTAATACATTTTTACGTACTATTAATATAAATCATTACAATTGATTAATAAAATTAGATTTGGAATTTTATAATCCTAAAAAATAAAACAATAAATTATAATAAACTGCATTGCAATAAACATATTTGGTTCTTTGATTTGAGGCTGCAAATGCTTTCCTGGCACAACGAATATCCAGCATAAATTCCTTGTCGGCTGTATGCGAAGCCACGGGTGCCGATGTATCTGAGGTCGCTCGAGCAGTCGGACTTGATTCACGGATCGGTTCCAAGTTCCTTCATGCATCGGTCGGTTTCGGTGGTTCCTGCTTTCAAAAAGATATTCTAAACCTGGTGTACATTTGCGAATGTTTGAATTTACCTGAGGTAGCAGCATATTGGCAACAGGTGATTGATATGAACGAATATCAGAAGTCAAGGTTTTCTGCAAAGGTCATAGAATCCCTTTTCAACACCGTGACGGATAAAAGAATTGCCATGCTAGGCTTTGCCTTCAAGAAAAATACAGGAGACACGCGTGAATCACCAGCGATTCATGTCGCTAAGACGTTGCTGGACGAAGGCGCTGTACTGCATATTTACGATCCCAAGGTTAGCTTCTTTTCTTTTTACAATTCTTTCATCAGTTCCAGATGTTATGTATATTCGATTTGATATGCGAATAGATTAAATTGCAAACTATCATAGATCACATTTTTGAATGTTTATTATAATGATTTGTTCATATTAAGTTTTAAATTCTAAAAAATAAAAAATAAAAATGTATTACACACTACATAATTGTATTTTCAAAATTTTAAAATAAAGTTTCAAATTTTTTATGTGTTTAATTTCATAATTAAGTTATAAGTGTAGTTTAAATTTTCATTAAAGTGACATCAATTTGTTTATCAGCAAATTTATTTATTAAACAAATTATTACGTATTAAACAAAATTTTATGTATAGATTATATTTCATTAAAAAAAATAATCCTTAGTATTTTTAATATTAATGCTCCAGAATGCTAAATAATATAATTTTTACATAAAGTAGCATGAAAATTAAAAAGCATTTCATTAGTGAATAATTGCCAATGAATAATTATCAAATGAATAATTGTCAATGAATGCATTACGACTTTCTAATATGTAGGTCGAGGAAACTCAAATCATTCAAGACTTGACTCATCCGAGTGTTACGAGCAATCCCGAAGACGTAAAAAATCGTATCAGTATTTATAAAGATGCTTATAGTGCTACAAAAAATACACATGCGATAGTTTTATGCACTGAATGGGATGAATTTATCGTGAGTATTATCTTTTGATAATTTATAATTATGAAATGGAATTCCTTTGATTGATAAAGTAAAAATATTAGCTTCTTTTTCTGATAAGAATATTTATATTATTAATTTAACCATTCAATCAAAATAATTTGAAATTTATTTATGATGATAATTGATTAATTTTTTTCGCGACATTCGATATTAAGTTAATATAATATTTATATAAAAAAAAGTTAGTCACTATTTTATCTAATGTGCAATTCTTAGGAGCTGAATTACATACAGATTTACGCAGGCATGATGAAACCAGCATATATTTTTGACGGAAGAAAGATTTTAGATCATAATAGATTGCAAAGGATTGGTTTTGTTGTTCAGACTATTGGTAAAAAACTCACAAGATCCGCGATTTCGAGAGCGTGGGGTAGCCAGACGCAAGTTTAAAAGGAAAAAAAATAGACCAATTTATATAAGCAATACTTCCAATTTGATACATAATATTTACAATTACAAGGATCTTGTTGAGCTAATTTAGATATAGGAGATATACGAATGCATTTATATATGTATATAGAACGTAAGACATTGACATAAGAATCTAAATATTTTAATGAATATGTTCATATTTTGATGAACGTATAAATAATTGACTGAACAGCATATTAACATGCGATTACATACAACATTTATGTTAATATGTAAATTTGTATTAATTTCTTGTAATTGACATAGGTTAGAAAAAAGAAGTTACAGAATGAATTAAATTTTTCAAAAATGTATTTTACAACATATGAAAAATATTGAAAAAAAGTTTTATCTTCTATTTATGAATTTTTTTTTTATTTTTCATGAGATTAAGCTTTCTTCATAGGGCTAGATTCGCTTATGTTGCTATGTTATTTTAAATGTTATTTTAAATAAACATGTAACTTTTATCTTAGAACAAATTATTGACATACAAACAAACATACATATTACATTTTTTATCACATACATCAATTATGAGATCGTATTTAGTTGTAAGATTTAATTATGTTTAATCTAAAATCTCATAATTGATTATAATTGTGAGATTAATTATGGTTTAATTATGAGATTGATTATGATTTAATTATGAGATTTGATCGTATTATTAGTATATTATTAGTATGTAATAAAAAACTGAAAATTTTATTGTAACTTTCCAAGTAAAAAAATGATCATTCATAGGTGCTATATATACATATTAATATAAGTCAATTTTCCTTGGCGAAATGGTAGAAGACAGAGATTGTTTATATTATCCGTGAGTATTATAGGTTAATTTTGTCCAATTCTCTCTTCACGTCAATGCAGTTTAATAAAATATTTGGTGTAAAACAAAAATTTTTGTTTGATTTTATTATTTACGAATTTTCATACTAATTTATTTATGCTATCAATTTCAATACAGTTAATCTTTAGAAAAGAGAATACATGTGTATGTATGTGTATGCAATTTATATCACATTTAAAAAATGTGAACTTAACAGATTGATAATTGTAAAATGTTTAAAAACTTTTCCTACGTTTGTCACATTAAATTTGTCAAAAATATTTCGAATAAAATTTAAAAAGAATTTATATTTAAGAAAAATCAGATGATAAAATATTTCTTAATATTATTATTTATTCATAAGCGTTATAATAAGGAATAACAATTTATGTTATTTGAAAAATTAATAAAATTACTTTGTGATTAATAAACGTATCATATTAATAATTAGCGAGTTACTGCTTCTACCAAGTTGTGACATTGTTTAATGATATATTCATACTTATATACACGTTTATATATATATCTGCGAAACGATTTATCGAAGATGTTTCACTTGTGTTATACATGCTCTAAATGATATATTTTAAAATGCCAAAAAATTAACTAAAAATTCAACGAACTGGATTTTATATTGGATAAAAAAGATATTATAATATAAAAGAGAATGAGGAGTGATTTTTTCATACACTGTATCATTAATAAGTTAGATTTTTAATATGGATCTTTATCTCTCTCTGAAGCTTTATTAAACAAGTTTTATTAAACAAGATATTTTCTATACTTTTGCTTTAAGAGTATACATATTTATGAGTATACATATTTTACAGACAAATTTTTTTTTTACATACGTATTATAAGACATGTCAATTATTATTATATAAACAATAATACAATACAAAATAATTTATTTTACTTTGAATACTATTATTATATATTATTAATTGATAAAGACCCAGCAATGTCGTTAATATCATATAACATAAAACTGTTTGCAATAGTAAAAAAGATATATTCTATTATAATTTTCCTATATTTTTAACTGTAATCTGTTATTTTCTCCAAAGAGTTTAAGGATTCAATTGATAATATACTGTTATGTTTTGATAATTTGATTAAATATTTAATATCAGAATGAAGTTCTATTATACTTTTCCTATAATTTTGACGGCAATCTTTTATTTTCAAAAAAGTTTTAATCAAAAGTTATAATTAACAATATTAAGTAATTTATTATTTTTATATGTGCGATCTGTTTAAGGAATACTGCTATATTTTAAAATTTCTGAAAAATTTATTTTAATTAGCAACGTTAATTAATTTTTTCATAATTTTATATATGAGCGCCCGATTGATATATTATGTTTTAGAAGTTTAATCAAAAATTTATTTGGAATAAATGAAAAGGTAATTTTTTAAATTATTAATTTTTAATATAAATATAAATATAAATATAAATTTTTAATTTATTCATTAAGTATTTTATTTTGTTGAATTTAATTTTTTTATTATTCCTTTCTTCTTTCTTTCTCTTTCTCTCTCTATTTCTCTTTCTCTTTTTTTCTCTCTTTTTAACGATTTAATATTGATGTATTTTTTTATAAAAACTAACAATTTCTTAAAGTAAGTTAGTATTTATATAAAATTAAAAAATAAGAAAAGAATTTTCATATTATATCATTCATTTCAAACGATTTTTTCCATACTGTGAAAAACATACTAAGTTAAATTTATTAAAAAATATAAATAGATATTTAATATATATATTTATTTAATATTTTATGTGAAAAAATATGTCGCATGAAAAATAAAATGTTTAATAAAACATTTGCTTTCAAATTATCTCATCTTAAATACATTATTTATATATGAAGTAAATTCGTCAAATATATTAAACGAAAAATTGTCAAGAATATTTAACGCTATGACGTATGAAGAAGCGAGCAGCATTGTCCTTCGCCTTCGTAGCCGGCTTGGTGGGAAGGAGATAGTAAACACAATACATCCGTCCTCTTCTCCCCCGAAGTTCGCCGAGCTTACGCGACGTCTCGCTCGGCGCGTAAGCTCGGCCCCCCTCCACCTCCGGTTACGTGTGCTTGCTTGCGTCGCGATTCTGGCAGTAGCGCCTCGTTCTGGAATCACTGGGCAGTGGCAGTGGTATTAGTCGTTATTCGACGGTCAGCGCGCAAGGTCGTTTTCGCGAGCGAAATACGTGACATTCGCGTTGAGATTGCGCCGAAATTGCGAGGTAAGGTCGACGACGAGGAGGATGACGCACGAGGCGTCGTATCCGCGAGATGGAATCGCGCTGACGCACAATCGCCAGTGATACCTCCACCGGAGAGCGAGATACACGTATTCCTTCTGATTCCTCAGCGTGCTCGTCGGAGGGCAATAGACCGGGCCTGTCGGTAGGAAAATGGCGGCGCATCTTTCGCGACGGAGACGTCGCACCATGGCGACGAGCATCTGAAGAATCGCCATAATACGCGGAATAACCATCCCCGGGATCACCGTTCTCCCCGTTCGTTCACCCGGCATAATTGACATAATTCCGGCGTCCCTCGAGGCCTCTAATCAGACTGACGTTGGTTGCGGGCGATGCGAACAGACGGCCCCGTAAAACGCTAAACCGTGAACGACAGGCTCGGGAAGACGCGAGGTGCGTGTGGCGCGGTTGGAAGCCGCGTTCGATCCCGGAGAGCAAGTGGCTCTTATGCGAGTGAGCGCCGCGCGTCAACGGCACCGACAGTGGCAAGAACCGCGGTGACAAGTGTCACGCCGGCGGGGCGACTCCTCGCCTCATCCCCGGGCGGCGATCGCCGGAGGATGATACCGCGATCGACGCCAGCGGTCGGCGCCGTCCGCGTGTCACGCGCACGACTTGCGATTGTCAGTCGCGACCGGCGTTGATCTGTCGTGATCGGCGACGATCGGCACCGGCGGTGTCGCGGGGACGACGATCCCCCCGCGGATCCGCGACGGCGGACAGCACGGATCATCACGGCGGACCACCGGCTGTGGAAGCTCAGGGAAGATGAGAGGCGTCCGCGACGGCGGCATGGCGAGCCTCCTCGCCCTGGCTCTCCTCTGCCTCTTCTACGCATCGTACTCTGTCAACGGTATGTATACATACAGAAAAAAAAGGATATTCTTATTTTGAAAATATATTTAGTTTTAACATGGAAATGTTGAAATGAGATTATATCGCGTTAATTGAAGAAAAATATAATTGCTTGAATAATTGCTTTACTTGAATGAAGCCATTTTATATAGTTATATATTTTATATACACACACAGAAAAAAGGATATTCTTGTTTTGAAAATATATTTAGTTTTAACATGGAAATCTTGAAATGAGATTATATCGTTATATCGATTATAGCGTTAATTAAAGAAAAATATAATTGCTTGAATAATTGCTTACTTGAATGAAGCCATTTTATATTGTTCAATCGAGAAAAATGTATTCTCATGATTTAAGATTTAATTTTCTTGAATGGAAAAGAAAAAATGTTGGATAACATTTTTAAATCAAAGATTATAATTTTCTTAAAGTAGAATTAAATAATTATATATTTTTGAGGTGACAATTACAATATTAAAATAAGACGACAATATTGTTGAAATTTAAAATTATTAAATTCTTCTAAGAAGATTAGAAATTGTTGCGTATATACGAAACAATGAACGCGTTAATTTAAGTATATAAGTTTTGATTTGACACTTCTTTTTTTTCTGTGCAGAGAAAAATATCATTCTACTGCCAAGAAAAGCGATTATTCAGTTTATTTTTCTCTTTTAAGTAATAGTTTTCTTCAACAAAGAATATATATTCTTGATAATAGTCTTAAAATATACTCGCAAGTCTTAGAAAACTCATTGTCATTTACTCAAAAGAAGAATTTATTTTCTCTTCAAGAATATTGTAAAGTTGTATCAAAGAAAAATCAAACTTATTTTACGTCAACTCTTGTAGTAAGCAAACCAAATTTTTGTTTTAATTTAATATTCTTGACTAAAATACTGCACTTACTAAAATTCAGAATATATTCAATTAAATTTAATGCTTGTGATAAACTTATAATATATTTGGGGATATACAAACTTATGATATACTTAAAATAATATTTATTTGAGTGCAGTATACATTTTTCTCTGTGTAGGCCACATTTTCGCGATACATGCGTTTGGGATGCGATAATATTGGTCCATTTGTACGTAATGAATGGTAGAGTAGTGTGAGTTTAAGATTTGAATATTTTGGATAATAATTATGATTTAGATGGTAATTTATATATTATATATTTAATTATAATATTATTATCTTATGAGATAATATTATTATCTTAGAGAGAAAGTTGTATAAATTATTATAAAATTATATTATTTAATTATTATTTAATAAATTTAATAAATTATTATTTGAAATTAAAATTGTATAAATTATTTATAGAAAATTTTTGTCAACGAAATCTTGTTCCTAAAATTAGATTAAATTAATGAAGATTGAAGCAGCATGCAGTGTCTTTTAAAAATTGATATAATGTATGTAACTCACTCTAACTCTATATTATACTCATTCATTAATTTAGCAGAGCATATATAATGCTTATATTATATATATGGTGCGTTAAAATTCAAAAAATAAAAACAATTCAAAGCTTTAGTTGATTCCAAACAAAACAAATTAATTATTTTTGCAACATAATTGAGCAAAAGTATTACACCTTTTTCTCATCTAAGGGTATAATAGATCCATGTCATGCTTCTTTAAGTAGACATAGGAGGATCTTTATGAAAGAAATATATTTGACATTCTTTCTCGATTAATTACTCAGAGTATTTACAAAATATAATATCGAAAATATATAATATATGTATATGGAAATATAATATATTTGTAAATATTGATTATTAAAGAAGCTTTTTAAACTGGCCGACTGTTGATTTGGTTATTAATTTTAATTTTGAATAATTAATATTTTCAAATTGTAATAATATATTTATTGTAAAGTAAAGCATGTTAAAATTTACATAATCAAACTTGAGCTAAATTGAAAAAATTTATTTCAATTTAAATAAACATCTACAACAGACACACAAAATTTTTATATAATTATAATTATAAATAAAATATTAATATGTATTCAATTATAAAAAATGTGAACATCTCTTTATTTTTAATTATTTAGCTTAAACATTAGATGTGTTGACATTTAAAAAAATTGAACAAACAAAATTTTAATCAGAGATTTTAGGACATTCTAAAATATACATACATATGATAAGTACATACATATGATAATATACATACATATGATAATATACATACATATGATAATATATCTATTCTACAAAAGTATCTTAGGTTTCTCTCTCTTGTTAAACTTTAATATACTCTTAGACCTTCGACTGTCACTTTCACTCAATTCAACGCATGTGTACATTTCAATAATTTGAATATGACTTATTTAACTACAACAAAATTAGATAATTGCGTTCAAAATTATCTTAAAGATAGAAAACCTTCAGTCCTTCGAAGACTTAATATTTAAAAAAATCACATGCAATAATAAAAGGATGCAATATAATTTCGGCGAATCTCTCTTCTTGAATGCACTTTTGTTTGTCCCACGCGATATGCTTTGTGAACGGATCCTTTACTAGAGAGTGTGTGTATTTTTTGCATGCGTGTATGCGTGAAATCTTTCTCTCTCTCTCTCTCTCTGTCTCTCTCTTTCTCTCTCTCTCTCTCTCTTTCTTTCTATATTTTTGTCGAGGTCTGTGTCTGTGTGCGTCCCTATTTCTCTTCCTCTGTTTCTCCGTCCCAGTCTGCGCCCCTCCTCCCTGTTGCCGCTTTCTCCCCTTCAACGGCGCGCACATAACGTTGCGTAAGTAACGCGCCGTCGTGTACAGAAGGGCCGTTTAATCTCGTTGTTGCACGAGGTCCGAAAAGCATGCGGAAGGGTGAACCGGTGCAGTCGGTGCCTTCGATGTCGCGCTCTCAGTTTTCAAGAGCCTCGGATCGCTTCAAGGAGAAACTAGTTGGATCAGCTGCGTCAAAATTTTATTGATAAATCTAAAATATTTCGCGATTCATAAATTTGATTATTAATTTAATTAATTTGTAGATTGAAATAAAAATTTGCCTTGTAGAATTAAAATCTTTATTTTCATGAATTATACCGTGTAATGTGAATTGTAGTCACTAAAAGTTTTTCATAAAAAATTAGTTCTATATTTAAATTATACGATTAATTATAATATTAAATTTATACGATTTTAAGGTTGAATTATAATTTATATTCTAAATTATATTCATATTTATTAATTTTTTTTGACACAGCTGATTCGTTCAGTTCCTCTTTAACCCTTTCTTTTTTAATATATTATCGTAACCATTTTAATCCTTGTGAAATCTATGACGATATATGTATTTTTAATTTTATACTAAAAAATACTAAAAAAAAAGAAATAAAATTTATCGTTAAATTTTATCGTTAATTTATAATTGATAAAATCGTACAAAATGATTAAAAAATGAAATATTGCTTATTCTATAATAAAGAATTCATATTTAACAATAGATATTTTTGTACATTGTTTATTTTTCTTTAAGTGAACTAATCATTGTGGGACAGTGTAATTTGCATAAAATTTTATATTATTTTCTACAGTTTTCATCACATAGATATTTATACAATTATATATAAAAAAATAGACAATTATTTGAATGCGATGGTTATCTTTACAATTTGATCACAAGTTTGATGCTTGTTGCGTAAAATAATCGTTCCATGTTTTACTCCGATTTAAGAGATAGTAAGCGCAATTGGATTTATTGTCTACGCTATTTATTGTTCAGATAATTGTTACTCTTTGTTGTGAATGATCGTGGTAATATTTAATTAAATTTTAATATTTTTTTTAAATATTTTTTTTCACTAAATTGTTATTATACAAGTTAGTATATCTAAAAAGTAAAAATTGTGTTTTGTATAAAATTAATTTTTTATATATAATTATTTCAATATATATTTTAAAAAATGAAAAAAAAAATAAAACTTAATTACTCAAGTAATTTTATATTATACATATCATATATATAACACATTTACGTTGTTTTTAATTTGCAAAAAATCTACGTTTAATTTAATTACTTTATATATATATAATATTAAATATTAAATATATACAAATAAATTAAAAAAGAATTTTTACTCGGTATTGAAAATTTGTTTTGTTATTTAGCCATAAATTGTTGTTTGATATATTTAATCAAGATATTATTTAAATTTATGATAAAGTTCAGAAAAAAAGAATAATGCTTAGTGATTCTTTGATTTCTTGATTTGATTGACTGCATGCCATAGATTACATAAATACAAAATCTTTAACATAAGTACATACATGAGCGAATAAGCCTGATTTTTTTCAGTAACAATATTTTTAAAATACAGACTTAACGATCATATAAACTTGTTTACATCATTTATTTATATCGTAACCATCTGCGTTCTTATCTTCATACTCATGTATAATTAAGATATGAGATCGGGTTATCGCATTTTTTCCCGTGCTTTAATCAATATGTGTCTGTAAAAAAATATTTAATTCGATTTATATCTATTAGCTTGCACAGCATTTCACAAATACACGTATTATTGCTTCTCCGACATAGACAATGTGTTATTTTTATGTTAAAAAGTACAGATTGAATTGCTTTAATAATTTCAAAAAATAGAAGGGAAATATGTCTTATGAAAAATCAAGTTTAATATAGATATTTAATTTAAATCAAGTTTAATATAGATATTTAAATATTAATAAGCTTAAGTTTAATACATATTTAATACGTAATTAATATTAATATTGGAGTATCTTTTATGAGCAATTATTTTAAATTTGTTCAAACATGTTTACATGTTCAAAATTAAAAAAAAAGAAATATCTTAATTTATCGACATTAATATTGATTATATAATGTTACTTATTATTAGAATCAAATTGACTCTCTACTATAATATTACGTAATTATAATCTAGGAGAAAGAACATGACTGAAATAAAACTTGCTTTTCTCTCAATATATTTTTTCATTACATGATTATATTAATGA